AAGGCACCAGGCTTGCCCAGGGTTAAAGCGAAACGGGACTATCAGTAATTACGGCTGCAGCAACTCGCAGTAGGTTGGGGTGGTGCTGGGGGAGCAAGCGAAAGACGCAGAAGGTATATCTTGGAGACTGGTGGCAGAAAGGGGCCCTCACGCTGAACTCCGCTTGGATCAGACGAAATGGGGCTGGAAGATAGAAGAAGGGATCGTCTGGGACCTGGAAAATCAGAAAGAGGTCCTCCTGAGAAGACACCGCACTCAGTATCAGGAGATTGGAATCGCCCTCACAAAAATGGGAGACGGCCTTCCCACACCTGGCTCCTCCAAGCACGCAGGAACTCCAAAAGTTATGTCAGCGGCTCATGAAGACCCCTTCTCAGAAGATTGCATCACTGCTCTGCCTCACAGTCCCACCAGGCTATACCGCTGGCCAGGTGGCTAAGACGCAGGGGGATGTTGGTGAGAGATGCGTGCAATCGCCGCAACTGGGTATTCGAGACCCTCCTGGTGGACTTGCTCCAAATCACAGAAGTGGTGGGGGTGATGGTTTACACACTGGAAGAAATGGTCCAAAAGGAACGACATGACAGGGGAAAGATGGGTACTGCTCGGGGCAATCCCGGAGGAACTCACAACGGACAAGGGATGGGCCTACGTAGCCCAAGTGGGCAACGCATGTATGATGTGGGTCATCTGGGCGTACCGGAATGACCTAAGATTCAAGGGAAAGGGCACGTCGGAGGTCCAGGCAGAGCAGCTGTTTAAGAAACTACTGCAAAACGAAATTAGGGTGGACCCGCAGCGGAAGGACAACAGGGCAAAAGCAGGACAGGCGGAAGGCCAAACAGGGCAAAAGCAGCACGGGCCTGAGCTGGTTCACATCTACCTGTCCGGCGGTGGTCCAAGGAAGAGGAGAGGGAAGGTTGATTAGTCCGAAGTGGTGGGGCAGTAGCATAGAAACTGAGGATAGAATAGCAAGTAGGTTCGGGCTAGAATAGGAGTTAGTAGAGTATTATAATTTTGGGTTCGTGCGGAGTTGTGGCTTTGTGGATATTTGTTGAGTAGGGGGACGAACCAGGGCACCCGGTTCGGATTAGAGACACTGTAGGCTGCCAGGGGTTGGGGTGGAGAGTGTCACATACGAAGAGGAACGGCTGTTCCGACCAGTCGAGTAGACTGGTTGTCAGACCGTCCTAGGTCTGTGCAGGGAATAGTCTAGGTTAGGCTATTTAGCATAGGAATGTAGCTGGGAAGCTAGGAAGGCTAGGAAGTAGGACAAGTGTGAATGTGAAGTCATATTTTCCACGGCATGGCATCAGCCAGCTTAAGCGAAACTGGGTAAGGCTCCCAGCATAACTCCGGGTTGAATTGTGAGGTCCCCGGCCTCCATTTTCAATTGCAATATAATGTGGGAAAAACAAAGAAGTTTGTGCTCAACGATGGCTGTCCGAACTTGACGGAACAACGGGCGAGGAAGAGGACGGAGAACGATGAGACCCCGACGAGCACCCTCTTCAGGCAAGTAGGCAATGTGGTAAAAAAGAAGAACCTAGGCATTGCACAGAAGCAACAAACGGATGAATGGATCGGCATAAGAACCTATAAAAGGAGGCCAGATAGAAAGATGACAGGGTAGAAAGAGGTCGCACATAGTGTTCTGGATGCCGTGTCCTCTCAGGGGTACAGCAGCCAGAAAAGGGGCAATGCGAGGGGAGATTCGAGACAGACCGAAGATAGGAGAGGGAGCAGATTGTGTGTGTGTGTGTGTGCGGGGGAAAAGAGAGAGAGAGAGAGAGAGAGAGAGAGAGAAGGGTACAAGAAGAGGAAAGGGGAGGAAACTCTAGGAAACTACTCAAACAATGAAAACGGACGAGAACAACAAGGAGGATTTGAGCGGGAGACATACACAGACACAGACAGACAGATGGCGAGCAGTTGGCGGCCATTAGTGGAAAACAGACTGTCAGCGAGCACTTTTTTATCCTGGTGTTCTGGATGCCGTGTCCTCTCAGGGATGCAGCAGAGTCAGAAGAGAGAACAAGGAGCGAGGAGCTCGAAAACAGGACAAGGACCAAGAAAAGCACAATGTGAGGGGAGATTCGAGACAGAAAGGGGATTGGAGAGTGGGCAAATCCGGACGGTGATTGTGTGCGTGTGAGGCAAAAACGAGAGAGAGAGAGAGAAAGAAAGAGAAATTGACAGAAGAGAAAGAAGAGGAAAGGGAAGGCAGAGAATGAGAACCCTTCCAGAACGTGAAACTCTAGGGAACTACTCAGACAATGACAACGGACGAGAGCAACAAGGAGGATCTGAGCGGGAGCCATACACAGACACAGACAGAGAGAGAGAGAGAGAGAGAGAGAGAGAGAGAGAGAGAGAGCAGTTGGCGGCCATTAGTGGACAACAGACTGTCAGCAAACACTTTCATCCTCCAAAATACATGTCGGAAAAGAGAACAAGAAGCAAAATTGGAACCAAACACAACGCAAAAGAGCGAGACACAGAGAGAGGGGGGGGAAAATTCAGACACGGGAAAATAGAAGCCTCCGAGTGAACGAGACAATACAGCAGAAACGAGGGCACACAAAACGCAGCAGCGTCCAGAATGCAGACTCCGGTAATAAAGAGAGGAGGCTTTGGCGAGGGATCGCAGTATCCCAACGCAGCACTCACTATCTTCCACCCAGAGGCGAGAGCGCCGGAGTGCCGAACATAGACAGCTTAGTCATTAAGTCGGCAATGAGGGGAGGAGACCTGAAGAGATATGGAGAGAATAAGGGAGAGAGAAGGACAGCGAAGGAGAGAAGGAGAGAGAAGGAGAGAGAAGGAGAGAGAAGGAGAGAAGGAGAGAGAAGGAGAGAAGGAGAGAGAAGGCACTCAAAATGGAAGAGATCGAGAGCGACAAGAAACAAGCAGGAAAAGGAGGAGGCAGGGCGGATCTGGTGGTCAAAGACCAAGGCGGATGCATGGAACGCAGCCCTGCCTAGACCAAAAAAAGCCTCACAAAAACAAGAAAGAGAGAGATCTAAGAGCGCGAAAAACTTGGAGAAATTCAGAGAGAGAAGAGAGAGAGAAAATAGAACAGCAAAATCCGAGACAGAAGGAGCATTACTGGCGAGAGGCAGACTGAATGAGGGAGACGGAAGCAGGAGGATTGGGGGCTGGGGTCAGGGCGAGGACAGGGCAGCTGCACGAGGGCAGACAAGAGAAAAAAATCAAGCCGATTATCATCTTCAAAATGGAATGTGAGGTCATCATATCTGAATTTAGCCGAAAATCTGGACCTGAATACATATCTGATCAACCCGTGTTTATTTCCAAAAAGGGAGCGACACTTGGGTAGAACGGACTGGGATGTTTCTTCCCGAACATCGTCATTGACTTGTGATTCCTCTGAGCTTGGGGAATTCCTACACAGGACTCTCAGCACTTACGAGAAATTCCTGGCATTGCCACAACCCGCCCGTCATGGACGAGGATTCTCCCACAAGCACTGCTTGTTCTTGTTTCTTCCTTGAAATGATGAATGCCCTGAGCGAATACACGCCCAGGTCTTACTCGTAGTTGTGCTTACCCCCTCCGCCAACCCATCCCCCTCCTCTCTCTCTCTCTCTCTCTCTCTCTCTCTCTCTCTCTCTCTCTCTCTCTCTCTCTCTCTCTCTCTCTCTCTCNCTCTCTCTCTCTCTCTCTCGCCCGCCGTGTCTGTGTGCCCTGTGTCACTCCATGTGCGTGCATACATGTGATTCGTCAATTTCGTCCCCATTCCGGGCAGATATCCATGTCGATTTTCTTATCCTCTCTCTCTCTCTCTCTCTCTCTCTCTCTCTCTCTCTCTCTCTCTCTCTCTCTCCCGCCGTGTCTGTATGCCCTGTGTCACTCCGTGTGCGTGCGTACATGTGATTCGTCAATTTTGTCCCCATTCCGGGCAGACAGAAGCTATCCATGTCAATTTTCTTATCCTCTCTCTCTCTCTCTCTCTCTCTCTCTCTCTCTCTCTCTCTCTCTCTCTCTCTCTCACACACACACACACACACACACACACACACACACACAAACCCCGAATGCGCACACAAAAACGTTGCGCAAGTTTCATCACCCCGCTCTTTATGAGTAGTATCGAAACTGAAAATGCATATATTTCTTCCCTCCTATCTCCCACGTGCATGCTGAGGCTGTGAGCATCACTCTCCCGCCATCCTTCCATCTCCCTCTATGTATGCCCATTGTGTGCCAACACATACATACTTCTACGCACTTTTTGACATTAACGACTACCGTCTTCACCCGAATAGAACGTCCGGTCATTATCCCGGCATCATCTAGACTGAAGATTGATGCTCGAACGTTCTATTCGGGTGAAGACGGTAGTTCTGACACTCTGTTCCCCGTGCACTTTCGTGTCCAGGTGCGGTCACTCCCACGTTTCAGGTATTCTTTCTTTGACGGACGCACATTCATGCACGCAAGCATTCTGATATACACCAACAAAACCACAATTTCGGATACCACCAACAAAACAACAATGGATAAGGGCGTACTCAGACTAGCACTTTCCTGAATGTATCCGACTGCGATTACGGCCGAGCCAGGATGCATCTGACCGTAATCCTGTCCAGAACTCAGTTGAAAAAGTCCTAGTGTGAGTATACCCTAAGATGTGTATAAGACTTGTGCGGTCCAATTCCCATTCACCGAACACTCAGCACAGGGCTCAAGAAGAATGATTCGATCGGCAATCGTCGTGATAGGGCCTCGCTCCACTACTCACCATAAATACAATGAATCTTCCGCTATAAGATGTAAAGATGCACCGCCATATTTGTCTTTTGTGCATGTGGTGAGGAGTGGTGCGAGGCCCATACACAGCAATCTTCGCAAATATGGATAAGACGGGATAATTCGTGGATAAGGCGTGGATGAGACGTGGACAAGACGTGGATAGTTCGTGGGTAAGACATGGACAAAACGTGCATTCTGAGTTACGGGGTCGATTTCCCACTCACCGAACACTAGGTACGGGGCTCAAGAAGAGATCGCTGGGATCGGGGATCGGGGTGATACGCAGGAATCTCCCCAAGATTGTACTATCCACTGCCCGACCTTTGTCCGACGTCGGCAGCCATTGCGGATGATTAGCAAGGACTTTCGCGAGAGGAGGGTAGGACACCAACATGACCATCACCTGCAAAGGTCTGTGGAACGGACCCAAAGGGGATATTCTATGATAGGGTGCCAAGATCTCGGCAAAAACTGGGCGAAATATATCTTCTAGTCCCTCACCATCGAACCTCTGAACCAGCTGGTCCAGAAATCCGGGTGGGAGAGACAGTCCACTGCTCCCAGATCCTTCAGATGTTGACGACCCCGAGAAGGCGATGTCCGTCAAATCACCACCATACCCCCCGCTCCCTCCTCCCGTTATGAACGCAACAAGTCTCCTGAAAGATGGTATAGGCTGATGACCGCCTGGTTGAGGAAACATGTCCGGATGGATCTGCAAGAGACCGGTATAGGACACGACGAGCTCCTTGACAGAGGAGAGGGCTTCCTGAAGCTCGACGCTAAGGGTCTTGTTCTTCATGCCCTGAACTTTCCTCGACTCTTCCAGGATCCTTCTGTAGCAGTTGATGAGGTAATCAACAGGGTGTTCTACCGCATGACAAGAAGCCTGATTAGTCAGACGATCCATCAGTACGCGTTCGATGATTGATCGCTTCAGAAGCAAATCAGTTCCTCCCTCTCTCAGAATCTCCTCTGCCAGGGATTCCAGGAAAACCGTTGGATCTGAGTCCCCATCTGGGAGAGGTGTCAGTCTGACGTGCAGAACCCTCTGCAGCATTTTGTCTTCGATCTCCGGGGCGGAACGACTAGGCCTGGGTGTCGCCATCGCTACCACACACACACACACACAGTCCACACTAAATAGGACGAGATCTGACCTCACTACACTTGACCTCCCTCCTCCCTCCTGCTTATTCAACCAAAAAAGGTCCGCGCTATTTTTGACGAGATCGATGAGCAGCTGCGTTCCCGCGCATGAACTCAGATCCTCCCCCTCTTCCTCCCCCTCCTCTCCTCCTCCTCCTCCTCCTCCTCCCCCTCTTCCTCCCCCTCCTCTCCTCCTCCTCCTCCTCCGCTTACTCGACCCCGCCAACGTCTAACCCGCTCGTTTATTTTTCCTAGATAGAGAAATCAGAGACGCCAACGTCCCACCCGCCTTGAGTTGACGAGCCACGGCCCCGTCGCGCGGCGAAAAACGAAAAAGGAAGCGCGAGGGCGCGAACATACCCGCTCTAACCGCCGAATAACTTTCTCGACAACTCGTGCGCGACCTCGCTTGTCTGCCGATAGCTCAGCGTGGCGCCCGTGTGCTGTCTCCCTCGTTCTCCAGTCGATCAATTGCTCTTTAACCCATAGATCGTCGCCTGGCCCCCCACCTGGAAGACACTCGACTGGATCGTCAACATCATCACCATCCTCAACAACCAGCTCTTGTGTTTTTCCATCGTCAGCATTTATAATTTTATATGATTTCAAACTCCTATTCACGAATCGACTGCCTCTCCCACCGAGTGCAGAAATTCGCAGCCAAAGGCTGTTCGCAGCCTAAGGCTCCCGGTTCACTTTTTTGTCGTCTAGCGTAGTTGCTGTTTTTTCAGAAAGTTTTTCGTCGGTTAAGAGGGGTTTAGAGGACGTCGACAGGTGTGTTTGAAGGGTACGGTCGGGGAGGTGAAAACGAAACGACCGGTAGCCACTCTGGTCGCGGGAGTTTTAGACGTCGGGGGACCGGTGTAAGGAACGGAGGTCGGTCATGGCATACCGACGGTCGGCGTCCTGCAGATGTCGGCGGGTTCCTTTTTGGGAGCCGCGCGTAGGGGACGGGCGAAGCGACACGAGCGAAAGCCTTACACATGCACCAAAAAAAAAAAAAAAAAAAGGCGCGCACTGGGGACGGGCGAAGGGACATGAATGGCTGCGTATATTTCCATGCTTTAGGTAAAGATTCATTTCAAGCCTTGCATGCAACAAAAAAAGAGAAAAGAAAAACAAAAAGTAGTCTCTCTCTGTCTATCTATCTCCGGTCGGCACAAAAAGGCCGACCTTTTTTTCTCTGCATTGGGCCTCGCTCCACTACATAATCGCACATGCATGCATTTCGACGCTTACTTGACCGGATACATTCACAATGTTCGAATCGTCCTAGTGCACCTTGTGCCTATGGTTTCACGAGCGGGTTCAATCCCCCCGTCGTTCGCCCATATTTATTGATGATTCTTTCTATCTACAACAATCAATTTTTTTATTTTTATTTTTATTATTTATTTTTTCCTTGTCTGGCGCCCCTGTATTTTGCGATAATTCGCGGCGCACCCCTCCTACGACCAGCTTACCCTGTCGCGCCCCTGGGCCAAAACATATTTTCGGCAGGCCCTTGTCAGTAGTGACCGCAACTTTCCAGGACGCCCTCCTTGGACTGGCGGTCCCATTTCCGTCGGGCCCTGTGCCATATGCCCTCATGAGGTTTGTCGTCTTTCTGCAATGCCCCCGCAGCCGTGAGGCGCCAGAAATTCGAATTCGATTTGAAACTGCCTACCCTCCTTGACGCGGCGATTTGAAACTGCGTGCTTCTTGACGCGGCCACTACGCTGTTGTCGACGCGCCGCCGCCGAGAAGCTGCTGGGTTTCACAGTGAGTGTCACTCACCTTCTTCGTTCTCCCTGTACTCCCATCTCCTCGTTCTTCGTATCTTCCGCTTCCCTCCGAGTGCGTGCGTGTGTGTGTGTGTGTGTGAGAGAGAGAGAGAGAGAGGGTGAGTTCGTGACTTCTCTCTCTCTCTCTCTCTC